TGAAGCATCAAAGAGCGAAGGCGAGTAAGAAGTCCTACAGTCCAGGGGAATGATACGACGCGACGGTCCAACGACGGTGCCCTTGTTCCACAGTCACGTCGTTCTTTTGGCGATATCTTAGAGGATGCTCCTAAATCTACCGGAGCAAGTGATGTCCCACGAGTACCAAGACTCGATAATTGAATAGCTCAACGAACCAGTTTATCAGAAGGGAACCTTATAATATATGTGTCTACGAAAGCTAGCTGTAGACTTCTTATGAAATTCGATATTGGCTCACACGGCTGACTGCCTTCTTTCTTGTGCTGGCACCTGTCGTCCAAGCTAATCATCTACCCGCCTTCTCCCTCTATTCTCATTCCTCCTCCATGCCCACTTTTCTGTTCGGTATTTTTTACCCACTAATGCTCTGTAGCCAAGTTCGCTCCGTCTCTTACTATTCGCATTCTACGTTCAATTTTTAATATGTTTTATAGATAGATTCGCAACAGAGTTTCTTGTTATCAGAAAAGATTAACGCTTGTTTTTTTATTAGAATTTAATTTAATTTATAGTTCCTGTTTAGATCATATAAATATTTGCCGCGCGTTAAAATTAGTAGCGTTGTATTAACCGAGTCGCGTCTGACTCGGTGACGCGTTGAATGAATTGGCAGCAGTAGTTGCCGTCAGTCGATATCGATAAATCAGATTACGTTGCGCAACCGGCCGAAAAAAATGATTTTGCTGAAGTATTTAAAAATGTAGCTAAGCACAGATCCGAAAATAATTTTGTTCGGCATAAAATAATTATGTAGGACATTTAAACTAATTGTTAGAATGTTAACGCTTTTTATAGCATTGTCATTTAAACGCCCTACGTGATTATTTTGATAGACAAAAATTATTTTCAGATCTATAGCTAGTTAATTTTTAGATACTTCAACAAAATGTAATATTGTTGAACCGGATTTAATTTTTATACGAAATTTCTTTTTTCGGGAACAAAAGAGTAAAAAAAGGTTAATCAACGATGTTGCATTTAAGTACTTCACGTACACGCTACAAGCGTTTTTCCATTTCGATTTCCGTTCGATTAGAGACGAGAACAATCTCATCAGTGTCACTCGTCGGATCGAACAGGGCTATTCCGAGCTCGATCCATGTGGCATTGCTCGCAGTGTTTCAGAGGAGTGAACAGCGAAAAAAGAAGGTGAATTCCAACAACCATGTGTGCAAAATATCTACGAGAAAGAACAATTACTTTGAGAGAGAAGATACGAGACAAAAGTGAAAAAAGAAAGAGACACGAGAGACATCGAAACGATGCACGAACGAGAGATGCATGTCGCGTGGTTCGTGAACGACCACAATCGCCAGTGGATAATGGCAACGATAAATTGTTTTAGCCAACCTAAAGCCATTAAATATTGAGCTGGATACAATTAAAATTAGTGGAAGAGCCATTTCGCTCTTGGCTCGTTCATCATTCGATAATCACCTTAATACGATTTTTATATCGTTTTATATCGTTTTTCAACAAATATTGCGTTTGATTTGCGAGAATAGATTCATTATAATGAATTTAATACGCTATGTAGCGATGCATTCAACTGTTTCATTCTTTTCTAAAATAAATGTATTACGAAAATACTTATGTATATATTAATCATAGACGTAATAAAGAAAAATGCACTTTTCCTAATCTTAACATTTGAAAACAGTCATCGGATCTTAAAAGAGAGGAGTGGGGAGGGGGGAGGGGGGAGAGAAGTAAACTTAGAATTCCAAATATTATCAAGAGTAGTATAAACAGTCGCCATCTTTGACCCAATCTAGATTAGAAACAAATCCGATTAAAGAATCACTGAGCATCCATTGGACGATAGACCAATTAGGTCTAAAATAAAGAGAGAATAATCAATAGAAGAACATTATTGACGTTCACACATAAAAAGGTTGCGCTAGTAGTCTTGTTAATATTTAATCAAGCTACTTCATTCCTTCTAAACTGATAGTGACACCTTCATAAAAATGGACAGTCTATATCTATTATGTCTGTATATATCTAATATTAATACTATTAATAAATGCTTCAAGTATTACGAAAGTAAAAAAACGCGTAATTAATATTATTATTAGCTATTCGCAATATTGTTGTCTTTTAATATTTTTTTAAATTGTTTTTCTTTTATTGTTGGTGTTTAGTTTTTTTAATTATTGTAGATAATACTATAGTGGGACATGTGAAGTTAGCACCCAAACTTTAGTTCTCAAGAGCTTTGATTAGAGTTCTAGCTTCCTTTTGAAGCTATATCATAGTGAACCGAGCAGAGGATTCAATAATTTTAGTGGACATACTATAGTCCACCTTGATTCATTCTTAATGTCATTTTACCGGAGAGAAACAGGAAATCCAATTTCATCCTTAACCCCATTAGTCCAAGGCAGCGTTTGCATGGGTTTTAATAGAAGCGGGGGCTATCGCAAACGCGGTTTGCATTGCGCCTTTCGCGACGACATAGCTCGAGGATAAACCGAGCGCGAATGTAAACTTGGACTAGATTCGTTTGAAGTCCGCGAATACTAGCGTGGCGAATTAACGTTAACGTCCAATCCGCCGAAGAGACCCGCCGGCGCTTTCGCCGTCACATTTACGTTCGCATCCGTGACCGACTGACAAGAAACACTACGAATGAAATGACGAGTAACGAGATTAAACTCTCTGTAGTAATGGCGGTGGCGATAGTTATGCGTTGTAAGGACAATACGAATATCAGCAGTAACAGGACATAACAGACGTGTAAAATGGATAGTGCGCTTTTTCCGACGTCTCGAAAACCTATTCTCTCCTGCGCATTTGACTCGTATAATTTTATCGTCACTTGTTTCATAATACGCTGCAGCTGTTTCGTTGATGTTAGCGAATGACCTACTAAGTACCTCTCCTTGTTGAAATAAAAAATATTTATCATTACTAAAAATGGAGTTAAATTCAACACTCTGACCGTCAAACTGATTTTGTACTCGTTGAACATATTCTCATTCCACCCCACATCGCTGATACCTAAAATGGTACTGGACTGCTTGTGACACCACTTGTTCATGTTCGAGATTGAAAACGCATAGATGATGCAACTGTTAGTAGTATTTTTTTAGACTTTATACGCGTTTACATAATATATTATTCAATAGAATATTATAAGTATCTCTCTAATCATATCGTATTAACATTGTTATCTCTAATAAGATACAACTATTGATACGATTTTAATTGTAAAATAAAATATCAACTTTTAAGAAATTTTATTGCGCAAAATTTCGAAAAATTGCAATATTCACGTGGAACGATAATTAAAAGTCGTAAAGGAAAATTACTAATCGCAACAAACACCTTACTATAATAATAATTTAGATATAAACGATACACTCTTCTGCATTCTCCAATTGGATATGGCGCAAATGAGGCATTCCACGTCAAACCGGACACTTTTAAAATATCGTCGTGTTTATTTGTTTTTTAAATTTGTTGACATTCTACTGACAAAAATATGAGACACGTGTCTTATATTTTTATCAGTAGAATGTTAGCAAATTAAAAAAAAAATAAACACGACAATATTTTAAAAGTGCCCGGTTTGACGTGGAATGCCTCAAATATGAAACGAGAAAAATTGTTAGTTTATTTTTTTCAGACTTACGTGTTTATATATATATATTCAATAAAATATTATAAATACATTAATCTCAACAAAATTGAAGGATCACCTGTTTCACCCTGCAAAAATAGACAAATTTCAAGATAGAAGAACTTCGTAAAAAATCATCGTATTGAGATGTTTTATAAAAAGCATTTTATAGTTTGAAATCTTTATACATTTCATATAAAAGATTCCCTTTTTCAAATCCAACGTTGCTAATAATAAAAATGGCAAGAGATTACTTGCGACACCAATTGTTGATTTTTCAAAATGCCAACATAGATAATGCAATTGTTAGTACTTTTTCAGATTTTACGTGTTTATAATTAAAAAGATACATGTTCATTGTTGTATAACCGTGCGAATACACAGTGTCGCATTTTAATTTATCCAGGCAAATATCTCGAAAAATATGGAAGATACGAAAAAATATTTCAGATAAAAGTGGAATAAATTGGGGCGGGGAGGGGACGTATTATAGATAGTTAAGTTTTTTTTTCTAGATGAAGGAGCCAAAAAATATAAAGATTTTTAAACAATTTATTATCACATGTTTATATTACAATAGAATATGTTATTAATAATCGATTTATCAGTACCAGCTAATTTTCAGCTGATTCTCCGAGTTTGATGTAACAATCGCAATCAAATCGAATAATGATATTATTAAATAATCTTGTAAAAAAACAATGACGCGTTTCAGATACTGTAGAAGATCAATACACTTAATAAAATGTATAAAACTAAACATCCATGTGTATATGTAATAGATACTTCCGCGAATAAAAAATATAATTGAAACGATACAAAATTTGAACCTCCTAAATAAAATAAGATTTAAATGAAATTAAAATTTAATTAATAAACATTATATACATATATAAATGAGATGCAACGTATAATAATTTTTATAATACATAATGAGTGATCGACAGCTAGACATCAAAGAGTTTAATGTTAATACTTTTATGTGACCTGCTTTATTTAATAATGAAGCGTATTTCTGTGTAACAAATACGTTAACCCCTATTCCTTATGGACTTCTTAACAGATAACGTATTGCGTATTATATACATTTGAAACCATTATTATTATCAGTAAGGCTCACATAAATTTAAACATTATCATTTTTTACACTATCGATTGTTACATTATATAATAAAAGTTCTTGGAAAAATATCTTTTATGAACATCTATGTATACGAACTCACAGTAGTTTCTATATAATCCTGCAGTGAATATTGTCAAATATTGCACAAACTTATTATTGCCGCATTCACTTTTGTGATATATATCTCTATCGCTAAAATTCAATCATTTCATTACATATATTAGTGACTGTCGTATAGAGTGAAAATGACGCATCCATTACTAATTGTATTACTTGTAACGATCGCAAATAAAAGCTTCGGTGTTAAACTGGAAGATCGGTATGAATGGAAATATATTGATTATGTGTGGAATAATTTGCAAAACCAGGAAGTGATAAAATCTGACAATTATGACCCTATTAAGAATATTTTATTGGACGTAGACGAAGCACCAGGTAGACTCATCAAAGAAATAATAATAAATAAATTGTTTTATTGTTTATTGCCGGCTAATAAAAGTTTTATACTTTAACTATATGACATGTTTTATTCATTAACGGTTCAAAATTTTAATTTTAATAACGACTAATCTTAGGCTCATAGCCTTTTTCTTTCGATTTTTTAAATAATAATAACTTTAATAAAAAAGATAACGGTAATGATAAATAAATAACTTTATATATCAAAGCTTAATTAATATAGTATTTTATGTTGTCGATGCAATATACCTAAATTAGTTCTACAATACAATTATGATATCTTTGCAATAAAAACATATTTTGAATGTACAAGATCTTTGCAATTAATTTCTTGTAGACGGTAGAGTATTCGTTACTGTAATAAGAAATAGAGGAGTACCAGCTAGTATAGCAACAGTAAGTAATGAAAGAGGACCGGGAGGTCCACTTTTGTCTCCGTATCCAAATTGGTCATGGTATAATGACACTACTGATTGCAATAACAATATTATAAGTGTATTACGGATATCTGTAAGTATTAGTTTATTTCTTTAAAGCGATATACATGTAGTTACAGTATAAAAATAATTTATATTAGTATGCATCGTGCATATTTACATATTTTTGCGTTAGATCAAATGTAATCATCTTTTCGCTCTGGACTTTGGAAGGAAGGATGGACTTCCAGGAGATAGAATTTGTCCTTCGAAACTATTAATCTTTAATTTAGAAAATGATACGCTCGTTGATCGTGTTACCATTCCATCTAACATTGCTGATAATAAAAATGGTAGAGGATTGCTTGCGACACCACTTGCTTATGTTCGAGACTGCAGACGCATAGATAATGTGATCGTTAGTATTTTTTCAGATTTTACGCATTAATAACAGTATATGTTCTGTAATAGTGCAAATACAGGGTGTCCCATTTTAATTTATCCAAGCAAATATCTCAAAAATATCTTGAAATATGAAAGATACGGAAAAATACTTCAGATAAGAGTATAATAAAGTAGGATTTTAAAGAAGACGTATTTTGATCACGTTGTTTCATTTCTTTTTTAGATGGAAGCGCCGAAAAGATACGAATGTGTCTTCAATTTCTTAAATAGATTTATATGATTTTTTTTAACATATAATATGATTCTCCAAATTATTTTATATTTAAAAAATTATTTTGCCTGTACATTTTTTTAAAAACAACTATATGTCTTTTTTACCCAACTGATTCTAAGTCATTACTTTATTCATAAAAATGTTAAAGGACAATTATCAGAAAATTAATAGTTTACTTGATATCTCTTGTCAATATGTGCCATCATGTAGTACGAAATATTTCATAAACTATTGGTTTTTTGTTTAATACTTTTATACATAACAATTCAAAGTCATTATGCAAAAAATCATATAATTCTATTAAATAAATGGAAGTGTCCTTTATATATATCTTGGCAACCCCATTTAAAAAAGATCTGAACATAACACGTCCTCTAAAAACAATTCTACTTTTATTTGAAAAATTTTTCCGTGTCACCCATTTTTTGAGATAGTTATCTAAATAAATTACAAAAGAACACCCTGTATATATTGTTTAGTTAATACATAATATCTTGCTATGAATAGAGAGAGAGAGAGAGAGAGAGAGAGAGAGAGAGAGAGAGAGAGAGAGAGAGAG